GGAGCAGTGTTTAGCTGTAGTTCTCCTATTTGTACTGAAAATCATATAAGCTATCTCTATGTGTATGTATATAAATGGCCCGTGCCTCAAGCAGCTTTCCTAATTTTATTTAGATTAGTATCGTAATGATAGCGCAGCTATTTGCCAGCTGGGGTACGAAAACGCGGTTAAAAGCGTATGTGTGATGGGATGCCTAATGTATCCTTATTATTGTCACTGTCAGCTTGGACCACGCGCCATTGGGCTTGACATATCGATCCATCAGTCCCCCTTACTTACACTACAGTTACTTCATACTTGGCGCTCAGCTGAAGGATCCAGCAAAAATTGCAAGCGGTAAGATGCGAGGGGCGCATGAACCACTATTTGTTCCTTGCCCCTAACCGTTTGTTCCACTGCCAATTCCCATCACAAGCAGCTTGCGCACCACAGTTGTTAAATTTGAGGATCTATTTTGACGTTGAAAGATCTCTATGGCTCGCCCGGTCGCTTGCCAATCATTTATTCGTTTGACAAAACCCCGCGCTCCTCAGAAGTCCCGCCGATGAATCGTCCATGCGTCGTCGTCGTCGTGTCAAATGTTGTTGTCGATATTTATTGATGACGCCTCCAACCGAATCTGGCGCTTACAAGCCGAGTCTTTTCTATTTGTCCTATTTCTACCACTACCAGGCCTTACCCGTTTTGGGTGCGTTCTTACCTCTACTCATTGTTACCTCAGCCTCTGATACTCGAGTTGTTTTAAAATAGTAACCTTTTCTATTATCGTATTGCAATTTGATTGCTGTTGCTGAGACGCTGGCTGGCTAACGCTCCACGAAAGCGGGAACAGCGACCGGAGCTGATATCGAATTAGAAACAAACTTTTTGCGTTTTTCATACGAGCCTGTTGCGGCCTGCTGTTGGGAAGGCCTGGAGAGATTCGGGGACGGAGAGAACTAGTGCGGACAAAAAATGAAAAAGCAATGTGAAATTGATAAATGTGAAAAGTACAGCCGTTCGATACAAGCCTTGTTTGCGAATCATAGATAATGTATTATCGCTATTGTAGTTAGGAAAAATGCCCCTATACGACCGACCGTATTGACTATGCTTGTCATGTAATCGTGATTTGTTACGATTAAACATGTATGCAGGCGAGGTACACATGGTCTTGGATATTCTGTAAAAGGTACAACATCAAAAATAGGATTAGGAGTGAACGACTCTGTGGCCTTAGCAGCGGACCATCTTAGAGCACTCACGGACCCTAGTAGCATGAACGTCGATCGATATGGTTCATTATACAACGCAGCATCAGTTTTTGACGTCTATTCAATACTTAGGTAGAGAAAAAGGCCAGCCTATTCTAGGTTGCGATGCACAACAGTTGATTTAATTTCACGGTTTAAAAAGCAAAAAACCGAAGCATTTATTGAGCGTAGACTGGGATAGAATAAGGCAGGATCGACCTAGAGAAATATGCACAGTTTTAGTATAATTCATTTCGTGCAGTCTTGCGATAACTTCGATTTTAAGGTTTAAAGAGCTAGAGGTGCACGCGTTATTACGTACCTGCACTTACTAGTCGTCTAGACAATATGACCTTGTAAAATTTATGTTACCAGCGGCGGACATGACTTGTTGTTATAGAACCAGACACGTTTCCTATGAGAGTATATGGTTCATTCTGACAGAAGAATGAGATTAAATTATCGAACCGTGTGGCGTTTAACATTTGCAATATAATAATTTCACGATTCGGCACTACCTTTAATAACTCGGTATGGTTTAGCACAACTCTTGACTTGAATGGTACCCCTTGTGTCAATAAGAAAAATGTTTACCTAATCTCAAAACTGTGACTGAAGTTCACGCTAATAAATCACTACACGTCAAAGAATGAACGCTTGGGTTTGATGGCGGTATTGATGAAGTACTAAAAATGTACTGCTATGTGTTTTTTTTTTAAGGAGTGATGTCTAAATGACGATCTCAGTTGATTTTCATCTAACTAATAAAAGGATCGCATTCTTTAGGTGGATTTCGATATCTGTTATTTCCTATCAAGTATTACGGCTCAGGTCAAAGTAAGGCTTAATGAAAAACCGTTGTCCGCGAAGAACCTACAGGTTAATTATAATCTGTTAATAACTCTGTCTGTAGCCGTTATAATAATCATAGTAACAATAATACTAGCGCTTCGTAGCAGCGAACTTCGACAGGCCGAATCACGCAATGTAGTAGTCGCCTGTCTATGCACAGGGGGTTTAGTTGAGGATTTATCTACAGCGAAACGTGGAACGATTTCATCCTAGCTGGAACTGGATTCATCTGTAGCGCCATTTATCCTTTAACCGGCTAGAGAGTGCTGCTTGTTTAGCTGGGAACATCTGCCATGCAAATGATCACTCTATCCATGTCGGAACATAATATTGTCTGTGAAGTATAGATGTTGCACAACATTTGTTTTGTTCTACCTTCATGTATAAATAGATATGCCCTTCAATTCGATTTGGCTTCAGATCGAATGCTTAGTAAATTATTCTACTAACAGGGTATACTCGGATCAAGTAGTAGGCACTGTAAAAAAAAATGTTCTGGATTTAGTTGGTTCTTATATAAGATAGTTACCATGCGTAGGCAGACACCATTGAAGCAGTCACAAGATCCATCAAACTTCATGGATTTGCCTCAATGGATGGCACTGAACGACCTTTCAAAGTGTCCTAAAATAACCCAAATATGCTTTCTACTTTTAGTAAAAATCTCATAATTATTATTCTAATCCACTACTACCATAGGAAAACCATATTATTCAAGTTAAAAAAAGTTTTATCAGATTTGACCTCGAATCTGGCCGGATATCGTTCAAGCTTCTGCAGAAATTAGAGGTTCTTGAAACTAACTGTGCCTTCGTTAAACTAAAAATTTTTTTTTTGAAAGATCATGGCCGAGGATGCATAAAAGCTTCTCGGGGCTATCGTCAATGCCTATTATTCGTACGCTATGAACACTTCTGTTTTGATTAAGATTGATTGCATGGGCTATTTTTCCCGAATTCTGGATATGGGAATCCCGAATTCGCACGTTCTCATATCCCATAGTTCTTAAAGACAATTCATGTTCCACGTAGCGTTTTTTTTTAGTTCATCTTTATTTTTTTCACGGAACACTCTTTAGTGAAAGGCAAATCGTCTTTGATTCGTTTTGCTGTTTACAATACTATAGAAATTAAACCTCTTTTCAATTGCCTACCTTAAAAGCTTTTGGGATCTAACTTTCAGAAGAGTTGCAGTTATCCCAGCTTAAAATCTATTCAGCAGAATAGTAAACCAAATCTATAGAAGAACTGATGATAATATGTAAAAGCTGTAATGGCTTAGTTTCATGTAACATTAGAAAATGCTGATTTAAGTTCCGCTGGGAGAAATACAAGTTCATTCCAACGAAGTGGGTCAATGCTACAGAGGGACCAATAAATAGAAACTCAACAAAGTTAGACATGAAATTGTAGTAGATCAGCCACACATATATCGATGACCGGTAACTAACAATGGTCAGCTAAGCTAAAAGCATAGTAATAAGTGGTAGAATGACGAAAGCTTTTTAAATAGGATGAAATACCCTCTATTGCGATGATGGACTCCATAAACAGTAAGCCATATTAAAAACCCGAGTAAAAAAAATATACGTTAGGATTATTGTAATCTACCTAAACGGTGTTAGGTGAATCCTTGGTAATCTGCGTTCAGAACTATCTAAAACGAACTCTCTCAAACGCGCTTATTCAAGAAGTTACCATAATTAAATGTACTCATCTAACTAACAAAGTAACACACTTACAGTTATCTTCCAGCCAGACCAGCATAACAACAACGTCTTCTACAAATTCTAATTTATTCAATCTGCAAGACAAAATTATTGACTTTGGTTGCTCTGACAACAACTTCCAACTTCATATACATATATATATATATATATATATATATATATAGCTAGATCTAGATCACCATTAAATTCCCAGTAGGAAATTGCTTAAGTTTTCCTTTTGTAATCAGCTTAGTCATTAACGTTGTTGATGGTTGACTCAGTCGGTAAAAGTATGATGTTGTTTCGAGACTGCAAGATTAATAATTATCTTTAATCAAACTGGTTTATAAAATGCCTTCATACTAGATTGTAGTTTATTCAAATATGCGGCCTTAATTTGTATTTGGCTTCAAATTCATCAGTACCGTTCTTATACCTGTACATATTTTTAGTTAATAAATAAAATAGTATCCTTCAACTATAATTTAGATCAATTTTAAATTGGTATCAAGCGGTAGAACAGCTTAAGGGTAAAACTAGTTGTTTTTAAAGAACGCTGTGCTATTTTTTTTATAAACACATCAAGGTAGTAAAAACATAATTGGGCCGTCCAAACTACGATTCTATTTCATTACATTCATTATCACAGTGTTATGGCCCTTAGATGTTGCAACCAGACCAGTGCTTTTCTACGAAACACTCCAAGACGTTATAGCTACGGCAAAATGATCAATTTTTATAGAGGCTCTTTTATAGACACAACCCTAATAGTGAACTGTTAATATTCGCAACCTTTTTATCCGACCTATTACATCATTAGGAACAAAGTTAATTGTGCGCCAATGCTGTGCTTCTCGAACTAGGATAATTATTTCGAATTTTGCGTTTGGTATAACCCGTAAGCATTGCTTCCGACGGCTGGTTTTCAGCACAAACTATAATGATTCTATATGCAGTTGTAGAGTTGGAGGTCTTCAGATGCTCCTAAATCTACTATTCAAACCACATTAGTATTACATTACCACGACGGGCTCAGCGAATATCGCGCGCAAACCTTCCTCTCGATCAATGGAACTACCCTTTCCCTCCGTCCCTCTCCGTCACCCTCTTTGTTTACAAAAAAAAATGCTGCCACCTACTGTTTGGGGTGGTAAGCGCTCAGACGCTGTACCAGTCAAGGCCGTTAAAGGTAATGTGAGATAAGTGGCTCTCTTACCAAACGTAGCTACAGCTCCTAAGCAATTCTTGATCAAGAACTGGGGGACCCGTCGAGTTTCTGCCAAGTCATTGTCTGCTAGCTGTTAAGAGCAACAACTGTCTGTAGACTTCGAGCGACCTTCTCTCTTCTATATAAGTGTTTGATATCTGTGTACGTTTCACAGCGGGACGATTCCGTCACTGTGTTTGCCCAAAGTTAGTTGCAAAGTCACGACTAGTCAGTGAGTTACATTTAGTAGCCATCGCAAGTGAACTTTTAGGTAACTTCATGAGTGATTATGAATACGCTATATTTACATATAACGATTTAGAGGTTCATTACAGCAGAAGCCCCTATCTGAAGTAGTACTGGGAAGTCTCGTAAGTGGCAAAGCATTGCCTAACGACCGTGCAATACAGTTAAATCAGATATTTTGGCAAATGCTAATGTTACAAAATTCTAAACATCCAAGTCTCTGGTATTTTCTCATATTGCGAATACCGGTAAAATTATTTGGGTTCCTTTGCTATTCATTTTAATTACATATGATCACAGCTTCGTAGGAATATGTAGCCTATTGTGTATCTCCGTTCAAGTCAGCTGATACTTTGGTTAGGCAAATGTTGATATTGTTTAGGTTTGGCTTGCATTTTGTCTAATAGTCCATTGACGCCGAAGTTTTCTTAGAGCATAAACCAATTGTAAAAGTCAAAACGATCGTGTAGAATTATCGAGTTAGTACACGTGGTTGACCTGGCACTTCTAAAGCGACGATATGTCAGCTTTATACGAAATGTTAAATCATTCGTGTTTTTATACGGGCTTTTGCGTTGACAACACTACAGTAACTTGTGTGTAGTGTGAATTTTGCAATTCAAAACGAAATTTTACACAATTCTAGTTATTCAACTTTGCTGATGGTAGTCAAAAGTCTCATATATACAAGTCAACAACACAGTATCCCAATATCAAAGAGAGTATATGGAAACGTACAAGGAGCCGACGAACGGCATATGTCACAATTTCCCCTGCATGTATTGTTTTACTTACATGTATTATCAAGCTTGTGCGAGCTTGGTTTCCTGTAAAGTTTTTCGTGGAATGAGTGCATGGCAAAGCGAGCGACAATATGCCTATTGGGTGGGTTCATCTGTTTGCACTGATTGTTCTTCATTGCACGCGATGTAAAAAAATCCCATTCAATGTCCGAGAGTCTGCCTTGAGTTGCCTAGGGCGTCAGTGGCGAGTTTGTAAGCCGATTCGGGGTCACTATGTATAGTTACAGTGTGCTTTTGGGCAAGGAGCCTTCGATACAACTTAATTGTTTGAGATTCTTCATTGTAAGATGTTTCCGAACGATGTGGATCCCATACATCGCGACCGTAGTTAAACAAGCTGAAAGCGACTATAAGAGGCAAGCGATTTGATCGTCCATCCGACCATCACTGTCCTTCTTTATCTTTCAGTTACCTGCGCATTGAGTGTTCTGCCGTTTGCGAAGAAAAGTAGCCTGAAGTCTCAAAATTAATTTATATAAACAAGAAGTAAGCTGGTGAGGTATAAGGTGTCGGCGTTCACCCTGTGAGCTACAGGCAGAACTTCGTAGGTGTGTTGTGGAAGCTTGTTTACATCCGAGCCTCGCAAGGGCGTTTGACAGTTTGCGCGGTTACAACTTGAACTGTGAAAGCTCTCTGCCACAGTGTGTGAGGGCTAATGCTTGCGCCCTATGACAGAGAATTAATTGTACCTTAGATGTTACTCTGTTCCTGGTTGTTGCAAATAGGTCAATAACTTGTTCCATGTCCCAGAAAAGTTGACAGTGAGGTGGGATTGACTGCATGTGTATGTTGGAAGAGTGGCTTGATTGATTACTGTGCTTAGATGATTTTATTTATGTAAATGTTTGTTATTAGTTTGCGACTTGTGCCTACATTAATTAAAGCTATTTTCCGACTTTAAAGTTAGGTTGAAGGGTCGTTATTATAAGGATAGCAGATGATCGTTAAGGGAACGTTTTTGTAAATTCATGAACTATCAGCGATCTGAGTCAGCGATATTGATTAACTGTGTCTGATACGGTTATTAAACCTCAACCATATTTGCCATGATTGTGTAATATTGTACCATTTATCACTGAAATCAAAAGATTAACTAAGGTTTGTAATACACCCTAAAAAAATGATCAGCTTCGATGGAAGTGAGGAAAGAACAGAGGTGAATGAAAGGCGTATGCATCAAAAACAATATTAGTATAGATGAAATAAACAAACTTGATGAGCCATAATTAACATCTGGGTAATAAATCTGTGATCTCATATTGACAGGAACAAGTACTGAAGAAGCATCGGAATGTTGAATAACGGCAAGCTGGCCGGCAAGACGATTCTGATTACAGGGGCGTCTCGTGGAATCGGAAAAGAGATTGCCCTGAAGTGCGCAAAGGTGATTGTTTCTGATAGACGATAATCCATAGTTAATCAGTAATTATAGTATCACTATATTAACACGCTCACGTTTACGATGAAACTGATTATTAAAAAAAAAAACTGGAACGGATTCTAGGCATCTGTTTGCGGAAGGTCATCAAGTTGTTACATTGCTTCGATATGGTTTAACGCTCATTTGAATATTTATAACTACGTGTTGCAAAATCTGTTAAACGTCATTTGTGTGCTTAGGGACGAGCTCAGGAATTGGCTCGAAAATGTTCTTGGGCACGAACTTTGAATTGCTAATTGCCACATAATCGCCTAGCAGTGCATATGCGTAGTGTGCTTAGGTCCGAAACCAATCGGCACAGACCCCCCGAAATGGTGCCAATTGTGGAAAAAACATCTCAGAAATCATAAAGTTTACGCGTACAAGATTTAAAAAAAAAAAAAACAACCCATAGTGGTTGCAGAAGCGTTGTACCTGATGGTGAAGCATGGGTGAAGTGAGTGGAGATCTAGCTGTTAAGAATCTGCTGATCCAGTGCTTTATCTACTATAAATATTGTAGGGATCATGATATCACGCGCGTTATGCCGTATCGATAAACGACAATATTATCGTAAGTAGATCATACTCGCTTTTGAACAGGCCAGGAGGCTAGGTCGTATAGTACCTACTATTGTTAAATTACCGAAACTCAGTGGCCAACTGTATGATGAAGTGTGATCTATGTTGAATAATGAACGTCTGCTGTACATCGAATATAATATAACAATGTTTTATCCGCAGGAAGCTTTCTAAAATGCTATTTTTGATGGAAATGACTAGTTTACCGAAGATTATCCAATTTCGTACTCAATACTTTAGCCATGCATTGGTAAGAGTGGGGCGAAGCCTACCGATGGAAACTAACTTACGTTCGTGTATTGTGTCTACGATATTCTAGCGAAATCGATAAAAAGCATAGGTATTTGTCCCAAACAAAACAATTAAATAGACGCGATTCCAGGGTAAGCATTCCTATGCCCAAAAGAAAGCTCCAATAGATCGGCGTGGAACGAACTAAATTTAATGGCCTAATAAAAAAAAATAAGCCCGTTCCAATTATGTGTCCATTCAACAAATTTCAGTTCACGAAGGATGCATAGTTGAGCATGCATGCTTACCGTCGCCAGTCTTAAAGGAAGCACAATACAAAAGGAGGAACAATACTAAAGCAAAAGTGTCAATAAGGCCATTACTAACTATGAGAAAAAAAGTACCAATTGCAGTGCCGCCATCAGTCAGCCAATAGCTAACCACCGAACGATTCTACCGCAAATAACGTTAGGTTAGCGTGTAAACAATGCGTCTCCCAGAGTTAAATTAGTGACAACGCTGAGGCCAAAACGAATAGTTGATTCCTGATAAACTACGTCTTGTGTAAAAATTGATGTTAGCTATAAACAAAAAAGGCACTCTATTAGAAATCGATAAAGTAAAGCAATTTATGCATAAAATTGTTTATATACGTCAAATGAACTATCGTTCTTAACAACAGAACCGATTAACGATGCGACACGGTAATATTAGCTTCTTAAGTTAGCGGCAAAAGAGTGACTGGATATAGTTCCTATCTCAAACGGCTTTGGCGGCGCTAGGAAAGTGTGGGGATTGCTTTTAGTTATTGAGAACTTTTGCCATTTTAAGTGAAAAATCAAGACACGGGAAGCCGTAATGTACGCCATGTTTGCATCGTTTAAATCCTTTAACCAAGAAAGGTGTAAGGTAGTCCTTAATCAGGAAAGTTTACATAGTAGCTTATTTTACTAACCATGAAACGTGTCAAGAATTTGAAATAAAAATAATATTCCGTAAATTATAACTGAATATAGAGTATTGCATTGTCTGAAATATTAAATCCGACATGCGCGGCTCTTCATTAAACTTCAGGACAAAGCCAATATTGTGGTTGCCGCGAAAACAGCCACCGCCAACCCGAAGCTTCCTGGAACGATTTACACCGCTGCTGAGGAAATCGAAAAGGTGCTCGCCTAAATAGATGTCATTCGATTTGTTCAGATTAATATTTTTTAACCGGACATGGATAGTTTATTGGTTTTAGCAATAGCAGTAGTTTGATAATTTTGTAGAATGCCTAAAATAGTGTCAGTATTGTGTTTCTATATTAAAGCTATACTTCCATAAAAAAAAATATACGTTTATCGGTAGAAGTATACATACGACTTATGTTGGATTCACCCAACAATACATAAATAGTTCGCTTATTATGATTATGTTTCATCCGGTTTCTCATTATGTGTAAAGGCTGGAGGCAAGGCTCATGCTGTCGTCATGGACATCCGCGATGAAGCGAATATCCGGAACGCTATAGAAGAGGGAGCCAAAAAATTCGGAGGTATAGATATCCTCATCAACAACGCGTCGGCCATCAGCTTAACGCCAACTGAATCCACAGAGATCAAAAAGTTAAGTTAGACGAACAAGTCATCGTTAATTTCGTTGTTCAAGGATTCAACTGGCTCCGCAAAGACTTTTAGGCATCGCGTTCGCGTTGCTTTGAATAAGCTCAACTATAAATGTATCAAAATAAATCTATAAGTAAGTCATCAACTTAACGGCAGACGTCAAACGAGACAAAGGTGCTGTCAATCATTGTTAAAAAAGAAATGAAGAGTAATAAAAAATTTTTACTTTTTGGATTCTTATTAGTAGTAAAACATCGACGTTCTGCGCGTTATACGAACTATTTTGATTGAAACCATATTAGAATGCAAACCTTTTAATGTTTATTCGGCAATTTTTTGACTGTTCATTTATACACAAAAAGGTATGATCTCATGCACCACGTCAATGTCCGGGGCACATTTATCACGTCGAAAATGTGCATTCCCTACTTGAGGAAATCAGCAGGAGGGGGGAGAATTCTTAACAACTCTCCACCGCTTGTCATGAGCGCGAAGTGGTTCGCGCCCCACGTTGCATACACAATGACAAAATTCGGCATGTCAATGTGCGCCCTCGGAATGGCGGAAGAGGTAGGCACAAGGCTTCCTTGCCATACGGCGTGTTACAGCTGTCAATTGCCTAACGAGAACATTGTAAGCATAAATTAGATTTTGAGCATTTTCGCGTTGCAGGGTACCTGTGTTAAGCGTGCTGTTTAAATAAAACGTTAGAGATTATGTGTACTGAAACGTCTTTGTTTTTGCGCCTATCCTCGTCTTACAGTTTAAGGGACAGAATATTGCCGTGAACACATTATGGCCAAAAACGGCTATCTATACCGCTGCAACCGCAATGTTAGCTGGAAGCGCCGATGCGGCCATGTCCAATTCTCGCTCTCCAGCGATTATGGCCGATGCCGCGTACGCAATTCTTACGAAACCACTATCGTTTACTGGCAATTTCTGCATTGATGAAGAGGTCCTTCGGGCCGAAGGTACGGTATGCGACCGTTTATTCTTCTGTTAAACTTATTTTCTCGTACGAGTAATAAAAGTCGGCCTGAAAACAATTAGGACTGTATCGTATCAGGAACACTTCACTTCTACAGTTCCAGACTGAGCTTTCATTGCTGCTGCTGCTGCTGTTATTATCATAGTGGACGTTACTGCTTCTTCACCATTCCTACAAACAGTGTTATGCGAGCAAGTGAAACACACTGATATTAAGAACACGTATACACATGCAGAAAATAATTTAGTTATTATAACTACAATCAAATCAATTTCACTACCGTCGCTTGCTCGTGTCTCTACACCCTTACCTATTTACTATTAAATATCTTATGTGATTACCAATAGCATTTTGTTCGTTGCAGGTATCACTGATTTTGATCAGTATGCATGTAAAAAGGGCAGCGAAATTATGCTCGACTTTTTCTTACCAGACAAATACTATGAGAATGGTAAGCTGCTGCCTACTGCTAATGGAACACCTACAGAAGCTGCTGCTGCTGCTGCTGCTGCTCCCGAAGTCAAGCCCCTGGACGGCGTGTTTGAAAGCATCAAACGATTACTCAGCGTAGATCTTGTAGAGAAGATTAAGGGTGTGTTTTTATTTGAAGTTAAGGAGGGCGGAGAGTATTTCATCGATCTGAAATCGGGCGCAGGAGCCGCGGGAAAGGGCGCTCCCACGAACAAAGTTGATGTGACTTTTGTTTCCAATGAGCAGACGTTTTTGCAAATGTTCGAGGGTAGTTTGAAGCCAACCGCGGCCTTTATGTCGGGCAAACTAAAGCTCAAGGGTGACATGAGCAAAGCTATGAAACTCGAGAAACTGTTTAAAGAAACCAAGGGAAAGCTATAGCTGGGATTTGCTCACCGACTCTTCTATCACAACGACGACGACGACGACGACAGCGACATAAACAGCATGTGATATTTAATAATCAGTATGTCTAGGACTCACCCATCGTCTGCTGAGACGTGTTGGGTGTAAGAAATAATTATTGTCTAGATAAAATTAATGCTCGATAATTCCATTGCCTCAACGGAAATGACGTGGAGTGAGGGGAACTCTCAATATGTGCAATGAATTACTAATTCGTAACCTAAACTATATTATATAGATACCTTCATATAGAAAACAATGCAACATTTGCTAAAAATAAAAACGGCACATCGCTCCAAAGTATTTCTTACCCTTCTAGGAAATGTCTATTTATTGTCATTCATCTGAATGTATCGATATGGCTCGATAAATGTCTTTTGTAGGAGAAGCAGTTGCATTGTACGAGTATCGTGCACACACTGGTGGATAGTTGAAACTAGGCTTACGTATGATGCCGCATTTAAGGACAAACAGCATTTGACACTCTAATCCGTTATAGACAATATAATAGTTATAATTTTGTAATCGCCGAATTCATCTAGGCGATGGGTACTCAAAAAAATCTTTAATAAATCCCTCAGTAAAATTAATCATGTACCTACTAGTGGTTTAAGGGTTCTTTCATATACTCGTTGTTATCCTTCAAAGAAACCAATCCGAGGTTGTATAGATATAAGCTGCTCTTACAAAACATAGCTATAGGCGGTTTCATTCAACTACAGCGGTTGTAAACGTGTTGCACGATAAACAGACAAGTTGAATCTTTTTGAATAAGATAGCCATTTCAGTGCGCATTTCAGGAAATAACATTAAGTAATTTTTAGAAATAAGGTACAAGAAAGTTGCTATGGATGTATGTTTGGCCTAGTTGCGCTTTTACTAGAGTTTTATCTTTCTACGAATTATGAGTCGTATACTCTTGAATTTTCGTCGAACTATACTAGCATCAACACAAAATTTTAGAAACAAATGTTTTTGATAATTATGTCTGCGGTCATAAGGTTCCTCTTGAAGCCCTGTAGAGCCGATCATCGTGACAGCCGAACTGAGTTTATCTACGTGACGTTTAATTTTTTGCGAAAAAGCTAACGCACTTTTCATACAAGATTTATATTTTTTATTAATTAAATTTACAAATGGTGTGTGAAAAATATCTGCTGTAGCTAAAAGGGTTCATGCGTCGATTTGGCTGCCATGTCTCAACATTTTTATTCATTCATTTTTTCGTTATTGCATTATATTTTTTATAGTTAACTACCCAGTACATTTTGGATACTTTATTTACTGGCCTTGAATGATGCTACGACACTAGTAGATGGGAAAGCCTCGTTAACGAAGCCGAGAAGACTACGAGGCAGCTAGTTAAACGTTAAATGTATAACGAATATTTT